ATTCTCCTGATAATGATCGAAAAAATGACTCGCTACATGTGGTAACCATCGATCCTGTATCCACTAAACACTTGACTGGACTACCGCAGACCTCTATAATGGCCTCATTAGCTTCTCCGACCAAGCGTTTTCTGACAATGTTTGGGTTCTTACCATCACCTCCCCCTATTTCCCCATTAATGAGGGAGGTTACCCTTTTGGTTGTGTTCCATTGGAACCCTTACCTGCATCATTTTTCTCCTGTTGCAATTTGTCCTCTTCATTCTTCCTGTAGTTTCCTGACCCTCTGTTCTGATGCTGGCCTTGGGTGTTTCTGGAAAAATGGTTATCAACTTTAGTCTCTAATGACTTAAGCTTACTAGTTAAACCAGTAACCTGCTCAACTAGTTTATCTATCTTTGAATTTAGGTCACCATCCACCTGCATAGGCTGGTGTTGGGTACCCTTCTTCGAAATAGTCCCTTTTACCTTGTCAGCATTTTTTATTTCTAAATCGACAGCTCTTACCTCCCTGACCAAAGCATCAAATGTTCCAAGTTTTGCGTCATACCTGTGTCTGGTCTGGTTTTTTAGCCTCTCACTACTCAGTGAAGTCCAAAATTTCGACCTAAGCATGCCCTCTCGTGCTGAATCTTCTATATGGCCATTATCAATGGCGGATTGAAGTAGCGATTCCAGCCGACAAGCAAATGACACTACTGTCTCACCGTCTTGCTGCATCTCTGAGTAGAATTTCTGTAATGTAGCCTCATGTGTGGCTACATTCCCAAACAAGCCATCTAGTTTTTTAATGATGGTTTCGCACCCCGCCTGCTCTGCTAATGGTATCAGCATCTGTCTTGCGGTCCCTCGTAAGGATTGCCGTACCGCCTGTGTAATTGTGGCAAGGGAATAATGCTCATCCCTCAGGATACACCTTACCTCAAATTTCCAAACATTAAACCCGACATCACCTTTCTGGTCATCTCCACTGAACGGCGATATTTTGGGTGGACGGGGTAAATTCCCTTGGGTTCCACTAGCATTGGACAAAAACGTAAATTCCCCATCAGTTGAGTCTGAACGTTTAAATCTGAGATTCCCTGGAGACGGTAGGTCCTCGATTTGACTAACCCCACCAAACTTGGCCCTACCTCTACCCCCTATTTTAGGCTCTGGAGTGCTTGTGGCGCTTTTCCCTACCTTTAGCATCAGGAGTTGTTCATATTCCTCTTTTGTCAACACTTTATAATCTTCACTTTCCAATAATTTCTTAACAACCTCTATATCTCTTACCTGAGCTTCACCTCCTGTAGCCTTAGTATCGCCCGGGGCGACGGTGCCTCCTGTAGCCATCTTGAAAACTACTGATACTCAGGAATCTGGATACCTATATACTGTAATTAATATATCTGCCCCTAAAAATGTGGGAGGAAATCTTGCAGTTACCGGTTAATATTAACTGGTTACTGGTGTCGGTGATTCA